TTTTGAATCCAAATAACTAATAATTTTTAGTTTTTATTATACATTTAATATTATACAATGAAGTAACAGGCTTTGTTTACTGTATTTTGTTAATTTAAATAGACGATAGATGGTGTTGATCGCAAATTGAATTTTTTTTTCTTAAAAATACTAAGTTTTCCAACCGAAATTTACAACTCATGAAGAGACAGCGCCATCTGTTAATATTCCACTACAAGTCACAGATCACCTGATCATCTATACATTTTATTTATTTTATTTATTTAGGTACAGAAACAGAAAACAAATTAAAAAAAATTACATCTTCGTATTAAAAACTAAAAATATCATATTAAATTTGTTCTCCAATTATGTCTGTACACAACATTCAAATATAAACATATAATAATTATATAAAGAAACTTAACCAAAAAAGTGAATTAATACAGTATGAGTCTGTGCATTTAAAGTAACGAGTACATAGGAAATTAAATATAATAAAATTCTAAGCCGAATCTGTACATTAAATATTTTTTGGAAAATATATATGAATTATCGATACAAAGGCCGAATCTATAGTTTTTAGAATTTTTTGTCTGTATTTTTTGATTTTGATGATATGATGAGAGCTGGTTGTCCGGGTCAACATATAGGATACTTTTTTACTGCGGGAACATATCTCTGAGAAATCTATACTAAACGTTAAAACGTAATGAAAATTGGTGTAATACTTTTTAATTTTGCTGTGTAAAAATCTGCCGCTAGAAATAAGTTTGTACAACGTCTTGAATATTCATAGATGGCGCTGTTCAAATTCTATGAGCTATTTAGGAAGCGAAGAATCTATCCTAGATTGGAAATAAAACAATCATGATCAACTACAATTTATTAAATAATAATAAAAAGTACACTTAAAAGCTCACAAACCAACACTTGCACTAAATGCAAAAAAATACATAATTATTTCATTCATATAAACGGGTCTTACTGCTCCATATACTTGTTTTTAGTATTGAGACACTATATATCAGACCATCAGTGCAAGAACAGCCTAACCCAATTTTTTTTTGTTTTTCGACTTAAATACCACAAAGTATTCTAAATATGGAAAAGTTTAACTTACAGAAGACTTTCGTGCAGTTTTACTAATAAATAAAAATACTGCTAAAAAATTTGTTATGCATTTTAATTTTTTCAACTTTTTGTAAATGCAAACAGCCACTAAGCCACTGCTAATCCACTCAGTGTACCTACATGCATTGCCATTGCTGTCATGTGACTCAGGCTGAATATGATACGATCGTAGGCAATAAATAATGTATCGTGAATAAAATTTAGATTCATAATAACAGCGGGAGAAAAGTTACATGCGATTTGGCCTAACCGTCAAAATAAATTCAAAAAATTTTGATAAAATATGTATTTAAAATACAAAAACCCACATTTATTTTTGAAAAATAATTATTAGATCTCTATAACAAATTTTGTTCAAAAGAAAATAAGCTAAAAACACAAAAACACTTTTAAAACTCAAGTTGGTGCTAAATGAAAAACTATAAAAGAGTTTTAAAATATATGAAAATATTTAAAAGTCATCTTCTCCAAACTAGCTGTCAATGGGTTAGGCTACTTTTGCACTGACGGCCTCATTTCAGATTTCACATTTTTTTTCTGGATGCTCTTATTATTTTTAGTGTAACCTGAAGTTATCGTAAAACAAAAACCTTGTATTACGTAAAAATATTTGCCGTTTATATTAAAGTGAATATTATAATCAATCATAAGAATTAAAAAGTAAATTAAACAACATACCAAGTTGTACTTTCATTCAAATTAAGTAACAAAATGCACCATACGTAAGTTTTGTTTTGTAAAAATATGTTGATTTCTATATAGATTAGAAAGAAAGATATCAATGGGAAAATGTCAAATACAAAAAAGTATGTAAAGGGAACGAAAACACAGAAAAAAATTTATTAGTTTTAGAGAAATTATTCTTATTCATCAATGAAAAAAGTATTAAATACACAATCAGCGACAAAAATGTCCTTACCTAATGAGCGCTCATTTGAACATTTGAGCGCGCTTTTAATTCATTTTTTTGTGAAAACAACTTTGACCATTGTATTTAAGGTTCAATTTACATTGTTGTATATTTATTTCAACTAGAATAATTACCTTAACACAATTGGTGACAGTTTTAAGAGAACTTTTGCATGGGATTGTGTATCTTGTACTTTTTTGATCGATGACTACATACGCATTTTCAAACTCAAAGAAGGTAAATAAGTTCTACCTAACATCAAACATATTTCTTAATAATAACAATAGAGAAACGTCAAGTAAATTTAAATGAGAAAAAAGAACAAGCAAAGCAGTTAAACAAAACCTGTACAAGACAAATTCTCTCGACTACATACTATTAATTAGTAATTACGATATATAATATAATTTACTATTATAAATAAAATGTTCACATTATCTTCCTACATAAGTCATAAGTCTATAATCAATGAAATTTTAGCATTTGAATATATTTAGATAAATCACTTTAAATAAAACTATCTTTTCGGATTATTTCGCTGATTTATTTTGATTTTTGGCTCCCGACCGAATGCTTTACAGTAATCATGGTCACGGGAGAGACTAAGTTAGACGTCTCGAAAGCATTGTAAGTTAAAAAAAAATAGTTTTATTTAAATTGTCTAATATTCGCGTAATTCTAAGAAAGTATTACAAATATACACTATTATTAATAAAATATAGAAAGCAAAGGTATTAAACATAACAATATATTTCGCAGTTAAATTATTCTTCTACATAAATGATAAATAGGTAGCATACAGTTGTTTACATACAAAAACAGAAATTGTTATAACAGTTTGATGGTAATACAAGGTTTTATTTAATTTAATGGCGTTGATGACAGGTGATAAATTAATATTGTGACAACTGACATAAGGAATATCATAACAAAGTTTTTTTTTAAATAAAAAAAATATTAATTAAATAAATATTAAATATTAAAAAATAGTTAGTACAAAAATGTTTAATTTAAAAATAAATGTAACATCTTTCAGACGAAAACCGATATTTTTGTTCTTAAATATTTCTTATTAGACAATTATTGGCTTTACGTTATGTTACTTTTGCTTGGTTTAATGATATTTTTATGAGTCGATAATGCCATCTTATCCCAATAAAATGTATAGTGATTATTAGGCCGACCGCTTAAAATAACATTTTTTCTGTCAGAAAATTTCGGACGCGAAGGCACTCTGCTCATATGTTTTGTGCCTGACATCCGCTTCTGATGAGTCCTGGACGCCGCCGATCAGACATCAGAAATTTTGTGATCAGAACTTCGGAGATCGCACTCTCTATACATTTTGTACTAGACACACTTATCAGAAATTCGCATCAGTTATCAAGCGGACTCCGTGAACTAAACTCATTATCAAACTCGCTGAAACGAAGTTTCTGATGGGTGTGCTGGGTGGTACCGGCGGGCATCAGAAATTTTCTGACAGAAAAAATCTCACAATATGCGGCCGACCTGAACATGTTTTGATATAATACAAAAATATACGTACAAATACTCTTAGTGCTTAAATCTGTAGATATGTCCATAGGTATTTTACAATAATGTGTTTACATATTTTGTGCATATTTAAAAAGTGATGTTGAATTAAATACTGTAAAACAATAAGAAATTAAAGAAGAGTATATTTTATTACTGTCAAAAATTATCTTATACATATAATAAAAGTGTAACTGATCGCTGTCTGTACATGGAAGTTATTTGAGAAAAACTATTATTGGGGGCTTTATTAATGCAATAGAGCTACAAAACAATGATTTATAGCATTTTTGTCTGTTTGTCTGTGCGTTTGTGCGCGCTAATCTCAGAAACGGCTTAACCGAATTTGGTGCAATTTTCACTATGTATTGTGGTAAGCTTAACATTTGGTTGTTTTATTTCAATCGGTTCACAGATAAAAAAGTTATGTCAATCTAAAGAATCACCAAGGGACGAACCAGAGCGAAGCGAGGGTGAGTCGCTAGTATACTTAATATTTCTACAGTCGATATTTCTAGAAATAATTTTAATAATAATATGACATTTTTAAGATTAAGTTAGCTAACACAGCATGCAAATGGACACAGGAATTAGAATTAGATTTAATTTACAATATACATAAATATCTATGTAGATAAAAGGTATATATATACTTATAGAATTTTGTATCTAAATTATAAAAGAAGAATCTGTACCGAGGCCAAAATTGTGAAATTCAAGACTAAAAAAAAAACTTTCCATAGCCCTTCCTTACTATTGCATTTAAAGCCACTATTTCAACAAATAGCTAAGCAATACCCAATATGATCATTTCACTTTTATATTAAAACCTACCTCTAATAAGCACATGACCAAACAAACCACTTAAGTATTAAATATATATAAATAATACTGCCGTCATAAGAAAGATGGCCGTAACTTTGTTGTTTTCGAGTTGATTTCGAGATATTTGAGGTTTTTTCTTACTGCTACGTCAAAATGATTACTAGTTTGTTCGTAGTTACGATGAAAATGGTAATGGTATCTCCGGATTCATAAGACTTAGAGCTTTACGAGTAAGATTATCAAGTAGCATTTTTTTGCTGATTGCGAATTTGCATTTGAGTCATTTTTGACCAAATTTTTAGTTAGGGCCTTCTTTATTATGACGGCAGAATAAGTTATGCACAAAATATTCATAGATGGTGTAGTGATGTGCTAAAATAAAACTGATTATTAAAGACAGTAGTGATGTTCTTAAAGTGACCTTTTAAATACTAACAACAAACTAATCATATTCCATAATAACGATAAACATAATATACTCTAAAAATAATGGTCGCACATTTATAAGCACAAAAAGTTTGAAAGTAGTCCCAATAAAGAAAAGGTTGTATGGGGTTTTAGGGAAAATTCAAGGACTCTTAAATGCGGTAGAGATGTCCTTGAAAACCTCACGCTATGGCCGTTTAAAGTATTGCTCGTCGATTCGCTTAGCGAGTGCGACTAAAGTGTCGTATCGCCGAACAGTCTCAGCCAGCTTGCGACAAGGCAGTCGCGTCGTGATTATTGTGAACACATGACCGAATACTAGGGCGTCGAGCTCCGTGGGACTGTTGGGAAAATAATTTAGAAATTAGCCATACACAAAAAAACTTATGTTAGGCACGACTATATAAATGCGGAAATGTTATAGTGAAGCGCGTGTGAGGGAAAGCACAGACACAACGTGCACTCTCTATTCCTGTCACTCTCATACTCCGGTGGGACGACACGAGACACGACCAGTGAGATATCAGATGCAGGACCGACGGCTTTATGCTCTCCGAGGCACGGGGGTTAAACACCATCAACATCCTAACTCTCTCAATAATTAACATGGCCCGACCCGGGGCTCGAACTCGGATCTGAAGATGTATGTGTAATGTACATGCTACGCTAATATATATTTACTATTTTTTTTTAAATAAAAATATCCAGGATATAAAAAGTTTCCATTCCAATTCCTTAGAGCTAATACAGTGTGACGACGTATCACTCACACTCACTTATTCACTAACATACTTATATTATTAAATAATAAATATTATGTGTAATTAACACACAGCACTATCTAGTTCCATGGTACGCTACGAGGCTTGTGTTATGGATACCAGATAGTTGATACACTACACATATATAACTTTAAATACATACATGTTATAAATATAAACACACATGACTGGAGTACAAACATTCGTGCTCATCACATAAATGAATGCCCCCCAGCGGGACTCGAACCCGCGACCACTGGCACAGCAGTAGGGTCACTAAAAACTGAGCCAAACGTGTCTTCAAATATTAATGTGCGTGTACACATTTATAATATCAATTAGAACAGTAATTACCAGCTGATGTCCCTAAAAACAAGTCACAGATATTTAAAAAATATATATTATAGTATATAATATGAATAAAATTAAAAATTGGAAATAATTGGTAAGGTCTAATTTTTAATGAATTTTAGGAAATTAAAATGTAAAATGTACGAGTATAATAAATTTATTTAAAATGTAAGATGTTTGCAGAAGTTGTCCTAATAAGGAATATGCGTGATTTTTTTTTTGATTTTTTATACAATAGCTTACGATATATAATTGTAATAAAATATCCAAGCTCTAGTATACTAAAATTTAGTAAAAAAAATGATTTAAAAATATCTTACAGATACGGATACTTTAAGTGCCCGCCATTTTGGCGCGCTTGGCGTGACGTCATAGCCTATGACAATAACGACTGAACAAGTCCAGAAGTATTACACAACGGCGCTCTGTTATGATATACTCTGACGTCACATTCAGTCTGACCAATGGCGTTGCGTTTTAACTACTTTGATTTTCCTACCTGTTTTTGCTCTTTTCAATAATTATTTTCTTAATCAAAAAGAAACTAAATTAAAAATATTGTTATACGCTTAATTCAAAAGCAATAAAGATTATAAAAAAAATATTTCACCTTTATTTAAATCACACGCACTTGTATGGAGTAAATATATACAAATCCAAAAGTTGAAATATATAATATATTTTAAAAGTGCCTTAAAAAATAAAAGTCCAACCAAAAAGTATTAATAAACGCAATTTATTGTAATATTTAAAAAAAAAATAATTAATCCACATCGACAACTTCAAGGCAAACGTTATAAGCATTCTGTTTACGCAAATATTGTAACAAACTTTCAACACTCATCTCTTCACTCTTCGGCATCTTTAAAGTCGATTTTGAGTCTGTAATTAGTAGCATTTCTAACTTGGTTTTTTTAACTTCAGTAACTATGGTATAAAATCTTGGAAGTCGATTTAACCTACTTCTAAACTGTTTTATATACTGGGTACTTAAAATAAATGGAATTCTGAACCTAATTTTTATGATAGAACCAGAAAATGTTAGTTTTTCTTTTTTTTCTTTAGTGGCATATTACTGCAGGTCAAAAGAGTCTTTTTTATCTATAACAAGCAAGTTACTCTCGTTTCGCTCGATTGCATCCCTAGCTAGGTTTGAATATTTTTTATTGTATTGTATTCAGCCCTTTTTAACGTCCCACTGCTTGGGGTGGGCCTCCCTTGAATACGAGGGGGATCAGGCCACAGTCCACCACGCTGGCCAAGTGTGGGTTGGCGGACTTCACATGTCTTTCGAAAACTTGCTAAGTTCTCTCAGACATGCAGGTTTCCTCACGATGTTTTCCTTCACCGTAAGGCAAGTGGTAATCATGTTAGAAATGATTCGCACATGAAAATATCAGAGGTGCGAGACCCGGGATTTGAACCCGCTTCACTCGGTTTCCCAAGCGAGAGCGTTACCACTGGGCTACCACTGCCTAATATTTTTTAGCCCAACCCTAATTCTGTCTGTTCCGGCTAATATACAAATCGGCTGGACCGATTTTGACGGAACTTTCACTGGTAGATAGCTGATGTTATAAGGAGAACCTTAGGCTACTTTTATTTTAGAAAAAAAATTAGTGTTCCGCTCAAAAAAAAACAAAACGTAGCGAAGCGAGGGTAAGTCACTTGTAAGTAGTAACATATGTATAAGTGAGCGAGCTGTGGTCTCCTATAAATAAAGGAGCACATATATTTTAATTAATTAATTAATTTTTATTTTAAATGATGTAAAGTGTGTTTATTGGGGATAATTAATAAAATAAAATAAAATTTATAAAAAATAAACCTGCTCTAGTGCAAAGCGACGATTTTGATTTCGACGCACTCCATGAAAGTATTCTATTTACACTTTGAATGCTTATTTTTTTGTTAATATCCTTTATTATGTCATTAGTTTTTCTGTCAAACGTTAAATATTACAAATTAAAAAGAGAAAAAATGTCCGACCTAAAAATCGTTTAAAAACATAATCTATATATGTATATATAATAAAATTCTGAGTCGATTCTGTACATTAAATATTTTTTGGCAAATCTTATTGAAATAGTCTTTATTATCGATACAGAGGCCGGATCTATACTTTTAGAATTTTAATCTGTCTGTCTGTCTGAAAATGCATCACGAGAAAACCGCTGGACAGATTTTGATAAAATTTGGAATGATGATAGCTGTTTATCCGGGTCAACATATAGGATACTTTTTACTGCTGGAAATTATACGTATACTTAAAGATGAATACAAATATTAAATAGTAACGAAAAAAAAAACAAAAACTAAAATGTCTTTTGTACCCAGAATCCACAAGATGTACATCACTAGTATTCAAACTAGTGTTCATAATAACTTCAGATTCGATTAATTTATCTGTGACAATCCCATTACTATCAACATCGATAACTTGTATTTCTTCTTCAATCACATCAGAAACTGTCACATCAGTACTATTCTCATCGATAGTATCGAGAAAATCATTATTCCTTACAAAATTCTCATTAGTATACGCAATAACTTCGAATTCGTTTCTATCGATGTTGTTAAATGTATTCATTGCACTCACTTCATCGACTTTATCGATTATTTCATGTATAATATCGATTATGAAGCAATTCTCTTCATTTATTTGTGGATCATTTTTATTTAAACGCTCACAAGTGACTTTACCTTCTTCTGACGTCATAATTATTATTTGCTTTGACGCGAAAGGCTTGAAACCTAATAGATTATAAATACTAAGTTAAAAATGAGTCCATTTAATTTTATATAATGAGTACATAAATATACTCATTAAAGAAATAATAATCAAATACACCGAAATGTAAACAAAATATAGCAAAATACTATAAAAATACGGTTTTCTATATTTTTTCAATAATACATTTATTTCTATGAAACATAATTTGAAAAGTAACTATTATTTGTAATTTCTCCGAAAAAAATCGGAAACAACAAAATTGTGAAATATGTATAGACAAAAATAAAAAATAATCATAACTCAAAATAACTCAAAAAATATATATTATATAACACAAAAATTAAAGAAAAATATTAACCAAAGACATCCTTATTAAAGGCGATATTGTCTCGACTAGCATTTCTAATGCACAGTTTCGACCTCTTCACCCGAGACACGGTACGCACGGGCGAGTTACGACGAAACACCTGTGAGGCTTGGCTCACTAAATATTCTTCTTGGGGCTATAATATTTATGTACAATATGAAATCTATACATATACTAAAATGGTAGTGCGAAGTTTATATATTAGATTTTTTGAGAAAATAAATTGTCTATACTGTGTAATTTTCAAAATTTATCAGTCAACGTATGACGTCTTTATTTGGAAAATGTAATCGTTGAAGACCTTTCTACAGAGAAATAAATATTAAAGATTAAAAAAAAACAAATCAGTTCCATCGAGCTGGTCTGATGATGGAACCAAGAGGAGGAAGGTGAAGCTCTTCAATGGTTTCTAACAAACCCCTCGTGTTTGAGCTAATTTGTTCCTTTTCGAGTCCCATTACACATTACAATTCGGGAAGAGCGTTTTAGTTGTTAAAACTATAATTATTATTTTACAAATAATATGTATGTACATAAATATACATACCGACAATTTTATTTGTGTTAAACTAGACATCCTTAAAAAATGTTTTAGCAAAGCGTTTGTTATAGGTTTTATCATTAAGGCGGCTTTTGGTCCATTCGCTGACAACAATGCCTTTATATGTCCATATATCAAGGCATCTAATGGAGTGGGACTGTGATGGTAAAATTGGGAAAAGCTATTAGGATAATTTTGTTCAAAAATTTAATAAATATCTAGTAGAAGACCTACTTAAAAATAGTTTTAGCATTCATATTATAGTTAGTGCAACAGTGGCATAAGTCGAAAAAAAAGTATAACAAAATTATACAATTCAGTCTTTAGTTTCATAACATAAAATATAATGGAAATAAAAACTTATGATTAATGACATTGTGAGTTAAACCTTTTATTCACCAAGCTTCTCTCTTTCTCTCTCATTCTGCCATCTCTCTCTTCCAATATTTATTAGGACATTTCATTATTGAAATGAAAAAAGCATACACATAAAAAAGTATATATATGGCTTTAGTTACTAAAAATGAAAAAAAAAATTGCACCATCTAATACTTTCTTTAATGATGATTGACAAAAAACAACTTACGTTCCAAAAAAGTAATCTTTATCGCCCAAACGTTGGCTTAGTGAATTGCAACACTGTTCCACCTGCAAAAAAAAAATTAAATAAAATATAAACGGTTTCCATTATAATTTACTAGCGATCTGTCTTTACTTTGATTTGGCAAATTACAATGCGTGTTAATAAACTTTTATCCTGACACATATATTTTTCCGCGATTAAAAAGGAAATCTTTTAGTTAAAATGAATAAATAAATAAATCTTTTGGTTAAAAATAAATTGGGTGATTTTTTTTTACATTTTATTTATTTATTTATGTACCATAAAATATATGGTACATAAAATAAAGTAACAGAACGTCGACAAAGATTAACTTATCTCTTTAAGGGATTTCTTCCAGAAACCCTTTAGAAAGTGAGAAAACAAGTTAATTTAGTGCGGTGTAGGTACAGTACAGAGTTAAATGAAATAAACTTAATAATAAAATTTAACAACTGACTATTATAATTACACACAAAAAATATATTTATACTCACATACATACATACAAACATATATACCTACACGTAGGTACATAGACCCATCCTCGAAGTACATATAAACTATTGATATTATTTATAACAATTTTTGAAATCGGTCAAAAATCAAATTGTCGCCATTATATCATGGGATACTCACATCAGATAAAACCTGTTCCAACGTTTTATCATGCCAGTGCAGAGCTTTCAATCTTTTTATAGCATTCGAGCGTTTCGATCTAGTCTGCAGCCAGCCTAACGGCCAGGGATATACTGAAGAGTTCCTCACTCTAGTAACTGTATTAAATGTCTCTTGATCTACCCACGACACGTATAACTGGAAAAAATAATTAGGTGATTTTTTTAAATTGACAAAAACTTTCACCCCCTATTTTACCCCCTTATGGGATGAGTTTCGAAAAATGCTAAAACACGTATTTAATTAATTGTATTGAAGAGCATTTATACCAAGTTTCAAGTAATTCTGATCATACATAATTTTTTGGATTGTCTTATAACGTGTTTTCCCGTGGGAAAGAGATAATCTCCCGCGGTAAAAAGTAGCCTATATCACTCTCCAGCCCTCCAACTATCTCCACACAAAAAAACGCGCCAATCCGCTAAGCCGTTTCGACGTGAAATAAGAACAAACAAACAACAAACAAACACACTTTCACATTTCTAATATTAGTATGTATCAGTATGTACATAGATATTAATATAATAATTACATTTCACTAGCTTACCTCAGCATTAACCAACACATTCGTTATTAAACTCATATACGCCCTCATCTCCGCTCGTTCTTCTGTAGACAGTCTGGAACATAATGTCACTCCTTTGTTCGCCGCAAATTGTACTATTGGTTCCAATTCCGATACAACAAAAGCACCACATTTGATGAATGGCACTCGGCCAGATGGTGACATGAATTCAGCGTTCCATCTCATCTCCACTTCGAACGGCAAATTGCACATCTGGAATGCACAAAGACTTTTGAATTAGTAACATATAAGTAACTGAAAAAACTTCATTGATATTTATTTATTTTAATTAGTTTCTTTTAGACGAAAGGATATTTTCATTTGGGAGACAATTTTGTTTCTTAACACTTTAATACAAATATATTAATATAAATTTTTTTAATCTACTCGTATACAGTTAAATAAAATTAAAGTTTCCGTTTGTAATGTCAAAATAACAGCTTTTTACTAAATGTATATGGGGTATTTATAAAAAAGAAAAAACAATTTATACAATTTTTGTATGATTGTTGTGGTTAAATTCCAAAACGGCTGGACCTATTATGACGAGACTCTAACTGGCAGATAGCTGATTTTTATAAGGAGTAACTTGGGCTACTTTGTTTGAGAAAAAAAAAATTATAATCATTCATTCCGCGCAATAAAAATAAAACCCATGAAATTGTGAACTAAATCCGTGTACTTAGAATCTAGTACTGAATCAGTCAAAATCTAGTTAATAATTAACACAGATATCACAAAATATACTGAGAAAAAATCAACCAATTAAATATCCTTCCTTTTTTAAGTTTCATAAGACTAAGAAGCATTATTTTGTTTAAGTTTTGAAACATTTTACACTAATTTTGAATCAGTTTCATAAATGTTATAATAGTTCAGGATTTGTTTCCTTATTGATAACATCTTCAAATGAAACATGTGACTAAAACTAAGAAATATTTATTTAATAACGACGTCACAAACTTACAAACTTTACCTCTCTATAATATTAGTATAGATTAAAAAAAACTGTTGGGGACTGTAGACTATAAGATTCATGTGTCCAATAATTATATGAACATAGTGAGTAAAACAATCAATAAAATACAATTGTCATAGCAAACTTCTTGAGCAACATGTCATGTTTATTTATAAACATGAACAATAATAACACAGATCTGGGATGAAAAAGTTTTTGTAATAACTCCATATTTAACATATAGATCTTAGCATATACATATATTTATAAAAACTTGTCTATAAACTTTGTTTAAACGTATTACATCACAATTTTTTTTATTTTCAGATACATATTAGTGATGTAACGAATGTTCGCATTCGCACTCGCGAATATTCGCATATTTTTTGCCATTCGCATTCGTATTCGCAAAAAATGATGGGAATATATTTGGCGAATTTATTTGACAACAAAAAGGAAATTAAATTTGGAATGGATGGATATGGAATGATGAATGATAATACGACTGATAAGAGTTATATTTTTTATTTACTTATAATCGCGATATAATATTTGAATAAAAAAATGATTATGGATCAGTCTTGAGGTAGCCAAACAAATTAGTAATACTTTCACTTTTGTTCTTGTCAGTCTAATTAAAATATTAAAAAAAATATAAAAACCGACTTAAGAAAACACTAAAAAGTAAAAAGGAGTTGATTGCTAGTTTACATTTACTAAAGATATCTAAGTGTTGTTTTTTTTTTTGAAGTCGGTTGGTTTCTTTGTAGTTTTTATTTTTACAATTTTAGTGTAGATATAAAAGTAGCAAAGTAAGCAGAAAGTATTTTAATAAAATATTCGCTTAAGCCGTTTGAGTTAGTTTGATGCCAATTTTTATATGAAGAATGAAGACTGACGAAATAAAATTCGCTTTTATTAGTAACACTAAAAATTAGGCTCTAACACCTAATTCTAACATATTGGGTTTGTCAAATCAAACAAAATAAGACCAACCACAAAGTATCTACTATTAGCTGTTGAAAAGTTCTATATCCACGTTCTGATCTTACCATCAGATCAGGTCGACGATACCAAATTTCAAGTCAATATAACAATTAGAAATAGGTTAAATTTTCGTTAGCTATTTTTTCACCCTTAGGGGTGGTATTTTTTTTAATTCAAATGGGACCAATTTGAAAGTATACACTTTCAAAGAAAACAAAAATTGTCTAAATTGGTTAATGAATGACGAAGTTCTGAGGTAACGAAAAAAACGAAAGGTAACAAAATAAAATGTAAAAAATATATATAAGTACTAGCATTGCCCGCGGCTTCGCCCGCGTTCAGATGACCAAAAACCAAATTCGTAGGTTTTACATATTATTAGTATACTCTTACAGCGCAGTTTTTGTATTTTTTCTCAGAAATGAGATATTTTTCCACGGTAAAAAGTATCCTATATGTTGACCCGGATAACCAGCTATCATCATACAAAATTTCATCAAAATCCCTTCAGTGATTTTTTCGTGATGCGGTAACAGACAGACAAATAAAAATTCTAAAAACTATAGATTCGGTCTCTGTATCGATAAAAACTGCCTCGGTGGTGTAGTGGCTAGCATGTACGGCTGCACACCCGGAGGTCCTGGGTTCGAGTCCCGAGTCGGGCCAAGTTTAGTTATTGAGTCTTTCTGTATAGTAAGTCTCAGTAACAACCCGGAGTTGGGAAGTTGGTGGTGTTTCACCCCCGTGCCTCGGAGAGCACGTAAAGCCGTCGGTCCTGCGCCTTAACTCTCACCGATCGTGTCAAGTGGTCGTCCCACCGGAGTATGAGAGTGATAGGAATAGAGAGTGCACTTGTGTTTGCGCGTACACTTGAGCACTATAATATCTCCTGCGCAGTTGGCTAATCTCAATGAGATTGGCCGCCGTGGCCGGAATCGGCTAGGAGAACATCATAATTTTTATTTCAATAAGATTTTCCAAAAAATATTTTATGTAGATTCAGTTTAGTTACAATTTTATTATATGTATAGACTATATTAAAAATCAATAAATCAAATGAATATATTTGAACCAAAATTAAACTTCTAATATCCAAAATCTTATATAACTTTTGGCTTCATTCCATTATATATTTTTCCATGCCACTAATTATTTTTTAACGAGTAAAGATAATGAAATATAAATTTAAAAAAAAACAAAATAATGAATTCTTATCTAAACTATTTAATGAAATATAAATAAAAAATAACCAAAATAATGAATTCGTAACTAAGCTATTCGTAAATAAAGTTAAGTCAATTTTCGCATTCGCATTCAGTAATATTGCAGGTGCATATTCGCAATAGCATTCGCGAATATTGGAGGTGAATATTCGCATTTGCGAATGTGAAAAATCGAACATTCGTTACATCACTAATCCATATTTCCATACTTAATATTATAAATGTGAAAGTGTGTTTGTTTGTCCGTCTTTTTACCACGGGAGATTACCTAATTCCCACGGGAAAACACGTTATAATACAATCCAAAAAATATTTATAATCAGAATTACTTGAAACTTGGTATTAATGATTTTCAATAAAATTAAAAAAATACGTGTTTAACATTTTTCGAATTCATATAAGGGGGTAAAATAGAGGATGAAAATTTGTATGGAACTACTTTTTTAGAGTTTTTTTTTGTAGTTTTAGCGCGAGCGAAGCCGCGGGTTCTGCTAGTACACATATATACACAAAATTATATTGCTATCAAAGCCAATAACAAGAATTTAAAGAGTATTATAAAAAAGATAATTTAGTAATTTGCTGTACCATTAGTGATTTAAAACATAAAGGCAACAAATGAAATGCTCATAAATAGCGACTTTCTATATATTCTTAAAAAATCAGCGTAAAAGCTGTCCCCTTGCATATCGGCAATAAAGCATCAATACTTGTAGCTCATTTAGTTTGTCTTAAAAAAATTTATGCTAACTTGAAAAGATTTTTTTTTTTAAATGCACTGTAACCAAATGGCTAATTTTCAGTAAATTAATAATGATATGCATGTCAATTTCTTGATCAACATCTAATAAAAAATTAGGATGACTCGTAAGGATTTGTTTAGACTTGTTTCTAAAATAATCTAGGACTATTGCCTACAGCAAGGAACCTGAACCATTAGGTTGGAATCATTCACTCCGTCAAGACAAAAAAAGGTATCAAGGTCATTGGAACATCACTATGGTGGCAGACTATTTGGATGTTTAGACAGTTAGATGGCAAAGAGATGAAGTGAAAAATCATAACTGAAAACCAACCAAATACTGCTTTTTATTGAACAAAATATTATTTTTCACTAAGTTGTAGAAAAAAACATAAAAAAATAATAATTTCGCAGACATAAGAATGATAAAGTATCAAACCATTCATAGAGTATAAAAAAGTTATTACACTCATTTTAAATAAAATAGTCTTTCTACATGTACTTGAAATAAGATGATAATTTCTATGCACTTACATTGTTTGTCTATATTTATATAAATTGGAATTTTACAAAAAACAACAATACTAAAAATTATAAAAACTGTGGTAAAATCAAACTAAAAGTAACAACATTACTTTCCAATTGCTTCTGAACATGGTTTTAAACAAATATTTATATTACAATGTAAAAAAATATATAATTACCTTTAAAAATGCTTGAACAGCTAAGCAGCTGGCATTATCAGGTAGCAATATTTGTTCCACCTCATATGGCTGAAAAAGCTTTACATTGTCCGGCCATGGCTCTTGAGCTTAAAAGATATACATTATTCTTAAATTGAGGCAATTTATAAATGCAAATGCATTATTAATATAGGATGGTTAACAATAATATTTTAAATATTGTAAAGGGTTAAGAAAATTACAAACACATTTAAACATGCGAAAACTAGTAAATTTATAGCACACTTAAATACAACAGAAATCACAATTAACTCCAATGAAAATTTTCTCTGTTTCCTAAGATTTTGCCATAGGTTACTTACAAATTTTTAATTGTTATAAAATTACTTAAAAATCGTCAAGCTTTATTTTTATTACTATAGGAAAATACAATCAATACAAGACCATCGAAAATATTATACCAAAAACGAAATCGTCCCCTTTCATTTTTGAAATATAAAATTTAACTTATGTTTGTGTAATGATGTAACAATGACACATCACTTCATAGTTATTTAGGGCACCCCGTATCTATAATTAAATATACGTGTCAAGCCATTTAAATATAGGTGAAAACAAAATTATATAATAACGATGTGTAAATAATGATTAAATATTTTATAAAATTTACTTACCGTTAAGGGAACTAATAATAGTGTCTGTAAGAGATACTTCCGGCATGTTTTGTGTTATCTAACAGTAATGCTGTTAAATAAATATCATTTAATTATAAAATTCAATTCAAGAACACGCGAAAATATTTCGTAATTTTGACAATTGAAATTTGAAAGTCCTCAAAAGTCAAAATCAGAGATTTCAGACAAAAAGTGTTACCATAAAAAAAATTAATTAATATTAAAAAGACTAATAATGTCTATCTTAAAAATATGGTTCGAAAAGATACAAAGCATTAGAAAACAATAAATTACCCATTTGGATTTGTTTAGTTATATTATCCCCGACACATGCCACATTATTATTAAGTAAATTTATACCGAACGCATACTCTTCATCATCAAAAAAATCAAATGGCTTATCTAATGGTTCAGTTTGTTTCGCTTCCGATGATAAGTTTGATTTCGATTTGATTAATTCAATATAGTTGTATAATATTGCTTCACCAACTCTGCTAGGAGGAGATGATGGTCGAGAATTTGTCAATGGAGATTTAGCAGCTTTTTCAGATGACATAGAAGTTTTAGGATTTGATTTTTTTATATCGGATACCAAAATATTATAAACACTCATAATAAAATTTTAAATTAGTTTCATATCAAATTAATTTCAATTATTTTTAAAAAGACATTTTTAATAAAAATTTGACATACGTCAAATATTTTATTCTAGCAGCTAAGAAATTAAAATAATAATTTTTATTATATATTTTAATATATTTCCCAATTATATGCCATAAAAATATTTTTATAACAATTTAATCACCTTAAATATAAGTTCGATTTAATATATCATCTGTACCCAAATCCAAAAGCAAGCTTTCTAAATATTACTAATATAATCTATGTTGATTTGTGCGTGTCAAACACAAAGTACAAACGCAGTTTATATTCAGGACATGGTTTTACTTTTAAATAAAAAAGGGAATTAGAAATTGCATTTACGATTTAAGTATAATATAATTGAAAATTTACTCTTTTATTTGATTCAGCAATATGGCTGACGTATTAGATATTGAAAATTCAGTAGAATTTGAAGTTGACGAAGATGGTGAACGTAAGTAAAACTAACCATTTATGTTTGTTATTCAGCTTAGTGCATTTTTGTAGATGTATCGCAGGAATATAGTCAGACTATAAATTACTATAAATAGATTCTATACACCTATTTAAAAAATAATAATTAAAGATGACCATTCAATAAGTAGGTTATGTTTAAAAGTCAATGATTCAGAACGGCTTACTTTCCTATTACATTATTTTATGTATTATTTGTAGTAGCTGTTCAAACAGAACAAATAACGATTTTGATATTTATAATATATGTATTATTAATTGTAGAGGGAATTGCTCGCCTGAAAGAGAAGGCGCGAAAACGCAAAGGACGTGGCTTCGGCTCAGAATCTGGCGGCGTTGGTTCAGAAAGAGGAAATAGGGGAAGGTATGAAAAAAATGAGAGCATATAATCTTTACACGCGGTTGAAGTAAAACTTCTCTGGCACTGTGATATTAAATTAAAAGAAATATAAATATAATATTTTTTATAAAATTATTAGCAATGTGGGATTAAGGATACCAACAATAAAACCACCACACTCCAATCACCTTTAATATGTATTATTTTTCCATAGTTTATTATATCTTTGAAGTTATAAAATGAATTAATGTAATTATTGTATTTTAAATAATTTAGAAAAAATCTTAACATTTGAAATTAATAACAAAAAATTGTTGTATTGAATAACTCAGGAAAAGCCAGCATCATTTTTCAAAACATATTTTAACTAGATTTAGTTACAATTTATTAGAAAATACTTATTCTCAACAATTTCTTATTTCTTTTGCTTCAGTTAAAAAACCACTGCACGCTCCCAATCCCAGCTTGTTTTTATTTCTTCTTTCTATTTTTAATTGTATTCTTATTATTATTTTTGGCTCGATCAATCTTGTCATTTTTAACTGCCTGATTTACAAAGGTATTATAATTTTTCATTCACATTGTCTAGTGTGGCCAGTATAATCAATTTATAACTATTATTAAAATAGTGAAACCTTACAGTTGTATATACTAATGTTAAAATTTAATCTACCAATAAAAAATTTAGATACATAAACATATATTCTTAATGCATATTAGTTATTGAATTCAATATTTTCTTTTCTTTTGTGAGATTAAATTTGCTAAATATTATAAGCATTCTATGATAGGGGGAAACTTTTTTACAAGCTTTTGCTTAACTTGCAATGGTTGTTCAGATCAAATTTTGCTACTGAATAATACTGAAACTTAAAGAAGATAACCTCAACTGATTGAGCTGAAATTTTGTATACAGTATACACATTTAGTTTAGATGACAATGCATGGTTAGATAAGTGACGTCATTCTAAATCTAACATGGCAGACTCCCAATGATGGCGGGCTATGTTTTTTTATGCACCCCCATGATATGGCTATCAAATGAAAGGGTTTGCTGAGAAGAATATGAATAAATACCTAAAAATGAAAAAATGAAGTTTAAGTTAAATCAAACCCATTCATTACAATACAAAATTTATATGATATAAAACCTTCTTTTTAAAAATGTTTTTTTAATATTCATTATTGTTTTTAACATTTGTTTGTTTAGATATGACAGCTTAGCGCCAGAAGGTGATGGCAACGCACCTGGTCCACAGAGGTCCGTAGAAGGTTGGATCTTATTCGTGAGCAATGTACATGAGGAAGCCCAAGAAGAAGATATACAGGTAATAAAATATTAATAGTATCAAGGCAATTATTAAAATTTCCTTAAAGATTTAAGTTAAAGAAGTTCATGTTGAAATATCCAAATCCATTTTTACATAATAAATGTAAACATGTCTGCATTGTTATCTAGAGAATTAACAATATACATAATGTCCTCCCGGCCAATTCTGGTCACGGCGGCCAATCTCATTGAGACTAGCCATCTGTGCAGGAGATATTATAGTGCAGACACAACATACACTCTATTCCTGTCACTCTCACACTCCGGTGGGACGACGACTCGACACGACCAGTAAGAGTTAAGGCGCAGAACCGACGGCTTTACGTGCTCTTCGAGCCACGGAGGGCAACACCGCCAACATCCCAGATCCGGGCTGTTACTGAGGCTTACTAATAGAAAGACTTAATAACTAAACTTGCCCCGACCCCGGACTCGAACCCAGGACCTCTGGATGTGCAGCTGTACATGCTAGCCACCAAAGCAGTTAACAATACAAGTAATAATAAACATACAGTGTTAAAACATAATTGTTATAAGTTGATCTTTTAAAAATATGTATTGCTTCTTTTTTTGATTTTTAATTATTAAATGTGTTAATTGCAGAATCAGTTCTCAGAGTTTGGTGAAATTAAAAACATACACTTGAACTTAGATCGGCGCACTGGATTCTTAAAAGGTTATGCCTTAGTGGAATATGAGACCTACAAACAAGCAGCTGTGAGTACAATTTATATATATAAATAAAAGCAAAATGTCTTTATGTGCTTTTAAAATATAAAAGCAAAGGTTCAGAATGGCTTCAAAATTTTTAACATATAACGTATTTAGTATGAATTGCTAATTTTACTACCAATTCATCAACTAGTATTATATTATGCCATATAAATTAAAGATATATATTATATTGTATTAGTAACTAGCAACTCAACCTCGCTCCGCTCGGATTCGTCCCTAGTTACGTTTTGATACTTAGTATAGATTACAAAGAAAAGTATCCTACATGGTGACCCAGATAAACAGCTATCATCATACAAATTGTCATAAAATTTTGTCCAGTGGTTTTCTCGTGATGCGTTCCCAGACAGACAGGCAGACAAAAATACTAAAAACTATAGATTTGGCCTCTGTATTGATAATAATGACTATTTTATTATATTGAATATAGATGTATTAACATGACTAAATTATAAGAGTTGCATTTTTTAGATAGAATGTAAATAAATACTTTTGTTTCAGAGTGCCCGAGAAGCCTTAGACGGAGCTGATATCTTGGGGCAAGCTATCTCGGTGGACTGGTGCTTTGTGAAAGGCCCTTCAAAAAGCCACAAGAAACGTCGATAGTTCATATATTGTTTATGTTATGTACTGCACTTTGATACTTGATAATTATTCACAACAAATTATATATTAACTTGCGATTCGCCCTCGCTTTGTTCGGGTTCGTCTCTAGGTTGTTTCCCTATATAAAATTTCATCCCCATTTTCATTTTCACCCCCTTAAGGAACGATTTTCGGGATAAAAACTAACCTATGTCCTTCCCAGGTTCTCAGACTATCTTTTTACCAAATATCATCGAAATCGGTTTAGTGGTTTCAGAGCTTATTTGGTACAAACAAACAAATCTTTCCTCTTTATAATATTAGTATAGATAAGTGTGTGAGGTGTGTTTTGAGTAGTCTTTAATTTCCAATTTTAAATGTTTCATATATGTATAAGAAACTAGCGACTCACCCTTGCTTCACTTGTGATTCATCCCGAGAAAAAAACAAATATCCCACGGGAACCTTACATATTTCAAGGTAAAAAGTAGCCTTTGTGCTATTCCAGGCTATAATCTATCTCTGCACCAAGTTACATCCAGATCCTTTCAGTCGTTCTGATGTGTTGAGTAACGAACATCCATCCACAAAACTTTCACATTTATAATATTAGTATGGATGTTATAAGAAAAGTTAAAGTTTTAACATTTATAGTTTGTTTATTTCAATATAATTCTTTAGTAGATTGCAATAAAAAAAAGTAAAAGAATTTGGTAACGGTGTGATTTTTAAATATATTGTTACTACAAAATAATTTCATTTTTTCTAATTGTAAGTTAAGAGATATTAAAGTGCTTTACATAGCAGTATAGTGTAATACATTGTTAATTATGATAATGTATGTAATATAAGAGCTTTCTAATAATCTTGTTTTATTTATAACTGATGCAAACTTGTGTTTTTTAATTAAGTTTAAAATGACTCGACAATAAACTAAGAGGTCACGCTCAATTTTGATCAACTTCAATGAAAAGGAGGTACTCGGGTCATTTAATTCAAAATACATAGCTTTGTTTGGTTAAACAGTACAAAAGTACCGTAAGCATCGCTATTGCCTATGTTACTCCCATGTTGAAGTGTAGGTATTTCATGGATTTTCAAATAAAAAGCATATATACTAGTCTCACTGAGTATTTTTCGCCAGTTCTTCCCAGATCTGAGGATTCTTCTTTCCCAACTGGTAACTGGTAGACTCATGACGTTAATTAAAAAATTGTAATAATTTAATGGAGAATTAAATATTTAGAATTTGAAAAAAAAAAACTGAAAATAGCATGGTTATGTATTGGATGGAATAGATTATTTTAAATTTATCTGGTTTTGTATTATCAAACAAGAGGCGATTATAAAAGTGCTCCCTTAGCATGTTAGTTATTTTTTGGAAAACTCGGTATACCTATCTATCGACTAGATCTTGAAAATCTAATTGTGACGGTGTAAAGCTCTAAGCAGTTGTGTGCCTGATATCTTCAGACGTGTTGAAGTGCATTATCAGATTACGAGAGCATCTCCCCTTCTTTAGACCAGGTATCAACTGTGCGTTCACCATGTCATGGTGAGGCTCAGTAGCGTCCGGCAGTTCAGCCAGGTGTAAGTTAAACTTATGAGACGCACTAAAAGACGGTGGGTTGCTCCTAGTACTTCTCTGATAGCAGTGTGGGACGTGGGAACGACACCATTGCTTATTGTGGTCTCTTGACAGACAGCTGTAGAGGCATCGTGGCCTAAAAATAAGACTAAAGAAGAAACTAAGTGGATAAAGAGCTTAAGTGATCCCGGGATATCTCATTATGATGATTTTAGTGGGGTACTAGTACCTACTGGATTTTCTAAACAGTTAGTCTCTACATAACCATCTGTTTGTGGTCATTATTATTCATTTATATAAAAACTAGTAGAACCCGCGGCTTCGCTCGCGCTAAAACTACAAAAAATCTCTAAAAAGGTAGTTTCATACAAACTTTCATCCCCTATTTTACCCCCAATGCTGAAACACGTATTTATTTAATTTTATTGAAAAGCATTTATACTAAGCTCCAAGTAATTCTGGTCATATATTTTTTAACCCTTAATTTGGAGGAAAACCCCTGAGTGTCAACACTGTCAAAAAATCGGTATTCGGTAGAAAAATTGGCCCAATCGCGCTACACACGCGACAACGCGGCAGACCGGCAGCGGCAATCTAGGGACCAAGGGTGGCCTCGCGCTCCTGAGGCTCAGGGCTGCAGGGGCTATCTAGGAAATTGCACATGCTTGACTATACTGTATACACATCACAATTTAGGTGGCAATTAAGGGTCATCCCCACTTTTACGCCCTAGATGATCCCTCAACAGAGAATAGAGATGTGAGTAGCCGCTTTTATATGCTGATATTTTTTATCTTTTTTTCTCTACGCCTTGCTGCCATATAATAAAGTGCTGAAAGGCAGCTACTCACTATGTGTAACTCAGCTCAGAGCCGGTTCAAATATTCAGTTCACAGTAGCTAGAGCCGTTGAGCTGCGGCTCAGTTGCTAGATAATCGGTTCACAGCTCAATATTACTTAATATGGCTCCGTGCATCACTTCAGCGCCACCTAACGTCAGCTATTTCGATGGACCCGAGCCGACGGACCTGTACTATAGTCTATAATCTATATTATTATACTCTTTGCGACGGACGGTATGACATTTCATCGCGACGTAAAGATATAATTGCATGAAATTAGCATTCCCCTATAATTGTGTAAAAACGAAAAAATATGACTATAATAACTTTTTTCGAAATGCTGCTTTATTACATACAAATATAATTTAGGTACATCATACATGTCATTTGTTTGAACAGAGTCATAAATTAGCTGTAAATCTATAGTTATAAGTACCCATACAACATCAATTGAGCTGAACTGTGAGCCGGTTCACAGCTCCGGTTCAAGCATATGACTCATGAGCTGACCTGCAGCTCATAAAAATTCATTGAGTTACCCATGTCTAGCAGCTACTCTATCTGATATCTGTTTCTGTATGAAGCTGACTATTCTAAATAGGGATGGAACATTTCACGAGTAGCAAGTGAAAAATCACGTGAAATGCGTAATCATACGTCACACCTGCTACTTAAATTCATAGTGGCTGCTACAAATCACAACTTGGTGAAATCTAGAGCTGTAGCAAACCGTATGTATTCGTTACTGAGTAACGGGTACGCCATCAAGTACCGAGTACCGAAACGTTACTCACGAATGCATTTCGTTACTCGCATTTTCCGTATACATTTTCGTACTGATGTTTTTATTGATTTTTTATTCAACAAAATACAATTTTCAGTTAATACCGTTGATCAGTAAATTGGGGAGTTTATTTATTTCGAGTTGCATGATTTCGGATTCTTAGAAATATTGTTTAGAAATAATTTTAAATTAGAAACAACAATTAAATTTAGAGCACATTTTTAGTTTTTTATCCAACAAATACTTATAATTTTTACTGAATGATTATGTGTAATACGTACAGACATAACCACCAACGCTGAGAACGAGCTAGAAATGTTTATTAATGAACCAGTGCTTCCGCGCGATTCTTCGCCATTAGTTTGGTGGAAATCTCACTCCTATATGTACCCCAATTTGGCGGAAATATTTCATGAGCACTGTCACATCGTGGTGACATCAGTGGAGTGTGAGAGAGTATTTTCAAAAGCGGGAAATTTCGCAACCCAAAAAAGAGCACGATTAAGCAGAAAACGAACAGCGGAACTTGTATTTTTAAAAAGCAATGAAGACTATTGTATATAGATATCTCATAAAAAAATCAATCATCAAAAAAATCAAAAAGCAAAAAAAATGATTATAAACAAATTAAAAAAATTAAGAAAAACAAAAAAAAAGTGTATAAAATTCTTTTATAAAAATTCTTATTGTACATAAAAATAATGAACTTTTAAATACGCCAATGTAATTATGGAACTTAGCTTAATACAATTTTACCGTGTGATTACTCTGATATATTTAAAATTCATTTAATTTTACATTGTCAGTCCCAAGCCTGTAGAAGTATGAGGGAAAGTTCATTGTTTGAAAATAGGTTCATTCAAAGCACCATGTACGTATGCAACTACGTCAGATCTATATCTCTGCTCCATATCACATCAGTAGCGCCATTGGTGACATTTCATACTTCATTTTAATAGCAAATAATATAAAGTGTGACACCAGACCGTCGAAATCAAAAATCTATGCGTGAAAAGTAGCAGGTGAAATCACGTGAAAAATTGTTGTAATTTCATCACGTGATAATGATTTAAAAGTAGCAATCATTTCCATGCTTAATTCTAAACTACGAGCAATAACAAGGATGGAGCAACTGTATTTAATTGAACATTTACAATATATCTGATCGTATCCTTCTTATAGACTTCTAAGCCAGAGGGACAGAGACAGAAATACTCAATTTGACCTTTGTTAAAATCGCAATGAAGCCGATTAAGCAGTGAGTAGGTATATGTATATAATTTTATATATTGAAAGTATACCTTTTCCTTTGTATTTTTTCCCGTAGAATCTATTTGTTATTATTTTTTGAATTTATCGATATTTTGACAATTTTTGATCGATTACCGATTGTTTAATCGATAAATTTTGGACATCACAATAATAGTCAATATATGAACCGGTAAATTTTGGCACATCCACAATAATAGTCAATATATAAATATAGTAATTATATAGCTTACTCGGCTTCATTTTAAGAATTTTTCGGCGTTTTAAGGAAGGGCAAATTGAATACTTCTGTCTCTGTCCCTTTCCTTGAGAAGTCTATAAGAAGGACACGATCAGATATATTGTAATTGTTCAATTAAATATAGTTGCTCCAGGACATGCTTGTTATTGCTCGAAGGTTTTGCCAATAAGGTCTCACGGTTTCATTTGATAAAGTATTTCTTAGTTTCCTTTTAATTAAATAAGCTTCTCTGCATCAGCATTAGAGTGTGGTAAACACAATAAATGCAAAAACCGCGCTAGTGTCTTACAAGACACTAATTGTATTGATCAAACGTTATTTCATTCCCTACAAAACTATAACTCTATAGCTGGGTACACACCGTGTCACCGATCTAACTAACGCCAACGAATGAGTTTCGTTGGCCCTGTTTGGACGACTTAGCGATCGCCATTCGCCAACGATTTATATATGTAGCAATTTATTCTATGCCAACGATCACGATCGTTCGTTGGCGTGTGTCGGCACACTGTGCCTACGATCCAAAGTGTGGCCGTAACATCAAAAGAATCCTGCCATTAGATCAATCTCTATATAGTTTGTTCATTAGATCGAACTCAGTGTGGACTTTCGCCAAAGGCTAACGAACGAACGACTTCTCTGAAGTGAGAGCGTAGCGTGCTTACTTCTAACTTAATATATAAGTTATTTCCCACCGTAGAGTGGAGTAATGATGATCCGTTTAATTTTTATTTTCCTTGGTAACTCATTAAGGTAGGTGGGTATATAAAACTAGCAATTATAAGTATTTCGTCGTCGTCCATGATCAAATTTCGAATGCAAGCCGGAATTAGGTGCCATCGTATGTTCGACCACTAAATTTGGACGTATCTTCAAAGACCAACGAACGTGCGGTAGCCAACGCTTAATATCCTTCGTTGGCGTTCGTTGAGTTTGTGTGTACCCAGCAGTAGACGAGTATAACAGATTAAAAATCAGTAATTTTTATTATAATGTTTGTAATAAATTTGCCTCTATCTTCTCAAATTTAAGTAGTCAAAACATCGTACGATATCGATTCGATAGTAAGGTAAGGCGAAAGGTCGTACGCACGTATAATTCATAATTGTCAAAAAAGACATATACGATTTGAATCGTACAAAATATGGCAGCTTTGTTTTTAGGCTTGATAGCTTTGTAATTATTAAAATAAGACGATTTTTGTTACGGTACACTTTTCTGACCCGCGTACCCGTATGTTTCAGTGTGATTTTAAATACGTTTCACGCCAAAAAGACGAGAAAACCTTTTGTTTTAGGATATTTTAATAGAATGAAACATCATTTTCATATTATTCTTTGAAGTTTCTAGTACGAAATAATGAAAACTGTTCGTTCAATCGAATTTTGCTTGGCCTATCTAACCTACTTATGAAATATTCCATCCAAGAGCAATGTATTTGTTTGTGCATATTATTCCAATTACTAACGTGTTTGATTAGTTTAATCAAAGCCATGCATAAAGCCAATTTTTATTAATCTTAGGATCCAGATCATTTTTCTCGAGTTTTTCGTCTATTTCTTTGACGGGCTCTGTAGCTCAGGTGTCTTGATCTATTTAAATATTTGGGTGTCAGTTTTGCTGCCGGCAAAATACCTCTACATAGAATTTAAATATTTTTTTTACAGTCACAATCTATACTAATAGACTATTTCAACGCGCTAATCTCAGGAACCACCAAATACCAATGCGATTTGATAAATTCTTTTAGCATTAAGTAGCCCGTTTATTGAAAAGGCTATCTATATAAATAGTCTATAATTTCCATACTAACCGTTAAAACATATTTAGAGATGAATCCAAGCGAAGCAAGGAAGAGTAGCTAGATTATAAAATCTTACAAATGAAAGAAGTGTCGAAATACCTGCTTTATAAGCATTTGGTTGCAAATATAATTGCCAAAATAACTTATGTCCAACTAAATTTTAAGATTAACAAACCATTTATTCAAAAATTCAAGGAAGGTCAATAAAATTAAACACAATTATATTCTTATTCGTCTATTAACTTCAAGCTATTGAACTGGCGTTTGATGCAATACGAGGCCAGAGGTCTGCGCATTCCTTCGCCACAGGTCCAGTGATAGCCGAGCCTTTCATTTCGCCCTTGTTGTTTACTATCACACCTGCATTATCTTCGAAGTATATAAACACCCCATCCCTCCTTCTGAACGGTTTCCGCTGTCTGATCACCACTGCTGGCATTACCTAAGAAATATGTAACACTCAAATTAGATTACCAATAATAAATAAAATTTTATTAGCTTTGGGACTATTTAACTCAAACATAATAGATATTGAAAGCTTGAAATAGAAAAAAAAATGTCTAGGGTGTAACAAAATACAACACAGATACAAAATATATAAATAATTCCTTAAAAATAAAAAATATTTAATCAGTGCTTATTGCCTAATTTCATAACTAATGTTCAGTAAAAAATAAATAAGGTAAACGCTACAAGGATGCAAGAATCAACTAATGTACAAATTAAAATGAATCTAAAACTTAAATTTTGAGATAATATTCTAAAATAACATGCCAGTCTTTGTAATAATTATCATCTACGGACAGACCGTTATAATTTTTAATTTGTAGGTTAAGTATATAACTCGCAGTATGCATTTTATTTGAAGCGATAACTGAATGTCAAACAAAATTAGTGTTAACTTTATCTGTAGGCAGTTAAATAATTGTATAAAGCAATTAGGAAATATATGTTAAGTTTTATCTCGTGGTCTTATACTACAATATCGACTTAAGATAATTCGCTCAGTCAGCCAAGGTGTAACAACACATTGTAATTCACAATTCAGTTAATAATTAGCGAAACCATGGCATATCATCATTGCAATTTTCACAAAACAGATAATTTCTCACATGTTTTATAAGTAAAAGCATGCAGTAAGAAATGAATTGTTCACAAGCAATGCAGTTTCATACCTTTTTCCTGAGTTCTGGTTTGCCTTTCTTTACAGTAGCGACAATCATGTCACCCGAGCCAGCTGCTGGCAGTCTGTTCAGGCGACCTTTGATTCCCTGCACAGCGATGACATACAGGTTCTTTGCCCCTTAACATTAATAACAATAATCAATCATTTATATTTATGTATGACATGTATACATAAGAAACAACAAGATAATTTTGATGTCTTTTTTTATATTTTATATTACAAAATTTAAATGTTTCATTAAATGTTAACATGTTGACTGTCCGTACTATCGTGTGTTACAGCTTGTACGTCCATTAGGTGTTTGTTAATCCCTCCACGACCGCGGACACGCCGGCGTGTCGTTTACAATAGATTTCTTAGAATTTTAATTAATTTCTTAGAAATTTACCTGGAGGTGTTTTGTCATATATTGCACGGACGTCTTGGCTTGATTTACATGTATTACATATTAAATTTACTATGCACAGCCGTTTCGGCTTGATTTATGTGCATTACAGATGAGACATAAACATTTGCAAATTTGTTTTTTCTTGCTGGTAGACCTGTTTCAAATCTAGCAATAGGTACTTTTATTTATTTGTCAACTGATGCACTTGTAGAAAAGCCTTTTAAAATTTTGTTTCATTGTTTTAGTAAACTTTAACCACAAAGTAGTATTGACATATAATGTAGGCAATAAAGGCATAGACTTGGCAGATCAGCTAGCCAGCTACAAATCGCCAGTGCGAAAAACATTCATTTGGTACAAAAAGATCTCAAGTCAAAAACGTTGCACAGCATTACAGAAAACTGAAGGAAACTGGATTCTTGACCAACACAGTAAGATAAGGCTACACATGTCCTAACTGCGTGTCTTGCTTACAAAAAAGCATTTTATTTAAGCTGTTATAACTATTCTCATCGATTAGTATCTCTTCGAGGTTACATAGGGCTAAAAAAATTATAAATTAAAGAATCGGCGGGACTTTGTTTTTTTTTTTATATTTCCATGTTCCTTACCCATACGTCCATTGATCATAAAAAAGTATAGCTCCCACGCCCAGTCCAGAAAACGCTGTTAAGTTTACATAGGCACGTGAATTAAATCTAATGCACGGACGTCACACGGTCGATTCCGAATGCAGTACATTTAATGCACGGACAGTCAACGTGTTATGTATATAAATAAAATAATAGTAATCATTACTTTAAACACATTAAAATACTCAAAATAAATTGGAACGCTTCTTTCATATCAGCAACACCGTATATTTCATATAATATGTAGGTACACCCTTGTGTGAAAACACGATGCACTTCTATTGTACTAGCAATGATAGACTCTAATTATACTGGATGATATCAGACACAGCCAAGGAAAATATCATTATGTATCAAAACACAACGTGTTTTAAAAAATATCATCATCACATCCAGTTTACTGTTAAGTTACAAAGTAAGGTTATAATATTATTCTATTGTTTTACCTGTGTTATCTGCGCAGTTTATAACGGCTCCAACCGGGAGACCCAGTGAGATGCGGAATTTCGCTCCCGCGGAACCACCACGTCCTTTAAAAATAATAAAAGCCCACTGTTATACATCTTTTACTTAACCATAACACATGACAATTTTTGGGGATATGGTAAAAATATACATGCATTCACAATATATATATAATTAAATCATATTATCACAAGATTATACAATGATTTTAATAAACTTTAACGAGATTCAAACGGATATTTTATAATTCACAAACCTCTCTTAGACATTTTGTTGTGTCAATTTCTTGAAGAGGAAATCAAAAGAACTACACTGTGAACTTGTCAGTAGATTGCGGTTTGTTTTCGTTCAGAAATGCGTGAGATATGAAGTTAGCTGAGATTCGTAATTGTAATATAATTTAATTTATTGTTTCACAATTAGTTCGATTTTAGGAATGCATACAAATTAAAAGTAATAAAATAGTTAATATTTTATTTGTCATATAAGACTTAAATATTTTAAATTTTACTACTCAATTTTGCACTATAATCCATATAATAAGATCATATAAACTGACTGAAACATATTTAATTCTTATTTTATTATATTTACTTGTATTGAAGATGTATTTCAATACATAATACAATATTCCAAGTAAGTAATATTTGGTTTATAAGTTTTAGAACGGAACATACATTCCATTTAACAAATACGATGTCACAATAAGGTTATTTTTTTATATCACTTTGTAGATTTATGGGACTTTAATTAAGTTTATAAATTCATTCAAAATTTTAACATAAGATTATAATGTAGTAATTTTAGTTTAAATCATTTAATAAATAAAGAAGCTTACGTGAAACTTTTAATATTCTATGCGTGAAACGTAATAGAACTAAAAAGTGTTTGTCATTTTCGATGCCGCTTGTCATTCTGCAGACTGCAAATTACAGACAGTTTTTGTTCGCAACATTACAATTCGTTTTATTAGAAAAGCAATATTAACTTATAATGTCTTTTATGGGTGATATGATGAATCCAGCACCTTTATGGCATAATGGACCAGCACCAGGAGCGTTTTATAATTTCCCAGCGAACTCTACATCGTTTGGGCCTTCAAATTACACAGTTCAAGATTTCCGAGCTCAGTAAGTTGGTTAATAGTGTGTTTATTTTGTAATTCTTAAAATTACAACCTTATTTGTTATAACTTATAATAAATGTATCGTTGAGACAGTTTTTAATACTGAGAACTTGTTTTTTTAACAAATTTTAACGATAGCAATTAATTTTATAGTTCTGCTAATCCAATCACAACTACCACTACTGTGATTGGAGTCAAGTTCGACAAAGGCTGTGTAATTGCTGCTGACACACTTGGTTCTTATGGCTCCTTGGCACGATTCCGAGACTGCCCTAGAGTTTTGAAGGTTAATGATCTTATCCTACTGGGATCTGGAGGAGATTATGCTGATTATCAGTACTTAAAAGATATAATTGAGCAGAAAATGTAAGTGTTCATAATGTTATACAATGTAAATTGTATATTACATTTGTTTATGATATAGTCTTTGTGTCACATATGATATTTTTATTTTAGAATTGATGAACAATGCATTGGAGATGGTCTGCAATTAAAACCTAAATCTCTTCACTGCTGGTTGACTAGAGTGCTGTACAATAAGCGCAGCAAGATGGATCCCTTGTGGAACAATTATGTAGTTGCTGGAATACAAGTATGTGTAGCTAGTATGATTTTTTATGATTAATCACTTTTTTATTCTATGAACACATATATTACTACAGATTTTATATAAATGAAATATAACAAGGAATTAATGTAATCATTATATTATAAATGATTGCTTATTATATTACTTAGGATGGAGAACCATTCTTGGGGGCAGTGGACAAACTCGGCACAGCATATGAGGATGGAACAATAGCAACTGGGCTTGGAGCATATATGGCAACCCCACTGCTTAGAGATGCCTTAGATAAGGGACCTCTAGATGAAGAATCTGCAAAGTATGAATTGTATTATGTCCTCAAAATTCTTTTTTTAAATTAGTTACTTTGTTTAATATTCGGTAGGCTGACTTTTTTAATATTTTTATAAATAGTACTTTCTTATGTTTCCAGAAGAAATTGTGTGCTACCACACCTTACCTTATTTACCAAGTACCATACCTTCTTGCCTTAAAATATTTTTCATTGTTGACAGACTTCATGAATGTTGTTCTTTTTTTATCTACATAATGATTTAGTTTTTAATTTTACATGATCCTAATTTTATAAAGAGGAAGACTTTGTTTGTTTGAACATGCTAATCTCAATAAATACTTATTCGATTTGAAAAATCTGATCTATTCGATACTAACCGTTACACCATACCTAGAGATGAACCCAAGCGAAGCATGGGTGAGTCGCTAGTACGCAATAAAGAATATACATTTTTATTTTACAGAGCATTGGTGCGCAAATGTATGGAAGTTTTGTTCTACCGTGATGCCCGCTCGTTCCCAAGATATCAACTTGGAGTGGTTACAGCATCCGGTGTTACTGTAGATGAACCAGTTGAGCTCAAACATGACTGGTCACTCGCTCACATGATTCAAATGAAGTGAATGCATAAATTTAAATACAATTAATTAATTGTTTAAATAATAAAGAATACAGATTTATTTTGTTTTATTATTTAATTAACATGTATGTTGTGTGCTGGTTCTGTGAAGTAAACATACATAAACAAAAATATTATATTTATAGCCAACTGTAATTACATAGGTAACTTAAAATAGAAACAATTGAGGGACACGTGGAAGAAAATGTCTTCTTTCCATTTTTAATTGTTTTAACAAAAATTAAACTATTTAAATTAGCTAATGACTAGTAAGAAGTTAAAGGAAAGTAATTATAACTGTGTCCATATATAATTTTGTCTTATAAATAAAATTGAATGTCTAAATGTGTTGCAAAACGCTAAACTTGAGAACGGCTGGATCAATTAGGTTATTTTTATTTCAAATATTCGTTAAACTCCGAGGAAGGTCCTTACTTCTTATGAAGTGAAAAACTGGAGTAATTTCAATGAAAAATGTAAGAAACACATTTTTCTCTTTATACTGGAGAATGCAACCTTAACATTAATATGAAGTAATTTAATGCATTTGTAGATTTGACACTATTTAAAACGTACCTAGTGACGAAGTACAGCTCTAAATATATATAATATAATAGGTATAATGCCGCAGGTACCGCCGAGCAACAGCATTACTACTAAATACATATATAAATATATTGTATATTTATATATGTATTGAGTAGTTGAAATATGCTAATTAAGCCCTCTCATTGCCTAACATGGCATCATTATTTTTTTAGTTTATAATTTTTTTCTTTTGAGAGTGCCATAATTTATTTAATGTGACGTCGCATAACCTAAGTCCAGTGGATAAACAAGACGCTTTAAATTATGATAAGTAATTTAGAAATAAAAAAGGAGCGTATGAACATACATATCTATCGATCAAAATCATAACCCTACTTTTGCTTCGCCTTAGCCGTTTGGAAGATTTGCCGGAACAGACAGACACAAAAAAAAATGTGTTTTTCTTATAAGTACCATATATAATTTGGTATGAATTTAGTAAAAAGCTATTATTTTAACATAACAAACAGACACTACTTACTTACTAATTTTATTTAGCTGTATAGATTAGTGCTCTTGCAAAACTGATTAGACAAAAAAGTGTGGAACGCTTCACGATTTTGCGTGTCATCCTTGCGCAGGGGCCATGCTAATCTTCTCTGTATCGTTCCAATTTTAGTATATGTACTGCCGAAGCGAGTACGATTGAACGTGTTAAATTATTGTATATATATGTAAGAATGCTTACAAACTTCGATAGCGTGTTTCAGAACAGTAAACTCAATCCTTAAATTATTTAAATAGATGGCGCTGTAAGTTTATTACATTATATATACCCCAATAGATGGCGTTATTTTTATAGAATATTTTTTTTATAATCTTAAAGTATTATAATATAGTGACAACTGACAAGCGACTCACCTCCGCTTCGCTCGGGCTCGTCTTGATTGCCCATATAAATTTTGTGGATGATTTCCGGGATAAAAACTATCCGACGTATTTCGCAGGGTCTCATAACTATCTTACCAAATTTCACTTAAATTATTCCAACGCTTTCGGAGCTTTTTCGGTACAAACAAAAAAATCTTTCCTCCTTTGAAGGATGAGAAGGATTTATAGAATGTTTTTTTTATATATGTATATATGTATTTTTTTCTCCGTCAAGAGTGTCTACTCGCTTCGTCGCTTCGGCATTACATATGCTATAAAAACTTAAAAAAAAACCGACTTCCAGGCACTAAAATGTAAAAAAAAAACTAAAGGCAGGTTTTCATTTAGAATAGATACCTAGCTAATCAGATATTTTCGAAGACGGTGCCAGCCGATGCAAAGCAAATCTAATATATTTCGATACGTAAAATACATATTTACCTATTAGATATTCATATCTTAAATCGGCTGGCACCGATTTCGATTTATCTATTCTAAATGAAAACCTACGTTTAGTTATTTTTTACATTTTAGTGCCTGGACGTCGGTTTTTTTAAGTTTTTATTTGTCAATTTTTAGTGTAGACGTAATAAGCAGGTAATTTGTAAGAAGAAAGTTTTTTAATAACATATTCGATTAAACAATTTATTTTAAAAAAATATTTTTTTGTTGATTTTTGAAAAAACTGCTCGACTGATTTCGATAAAATTTATATGGAACCACCTGGGAAGTATACCCTTTGAAACGAAAAAAAAATCCAAATCGGTTCAGGCGTCTTCGAGTAATCGGTGAACATACATAAAAAAGACTCCGACGAATTGAGAACCTCCTGCTCTTTGGAAGTCGGTTAAAAATTAGAACAATACAGAGAAGAATAACATGGCCCCTGCGCGAGGATGACACGCAAATTCGTGACGCGTTCCATATTTTTTTGACATATCAGTTTTACAAATAACTCAAATAATCCTACACCTACTAATATTATAAACGCGAAAGTTTGTGAGAATGTCTGCATGTTTGGATGTATAGATATATGGATGTTTGTTACTCTTTCACGCAAAAACTACTGAATGGATTTTAATGAAACCTTACAATAATATAGATCATAAATCAGAATAACACATAGGCTTCCCGTGGGATAGATTTGATTTTGTTTTTCTATAAATATTTTATCTTTTTATAACGTCATATAAATTCATGATTGGGATATTTACTCATTTAGGTACATACATAACCAGACGTAGCACAGTACAATACGGATTAGATATTTGTTAAGTAAGGTCTGTGTATATATATGTGAGAAACAACTCTTCAATTTGTAAGGTAAATTTATTTAATTTTGGCAGTTGCGGGTTTCAATCCTGTTAATTACAAAATGAAAGCTTTGAAGTTAAAGATTAAGGTCACAGGTTCACAGGCTCCCAAACACATTCTCGAGTATAATTGTTCAATAATAACAATACAAAGTTAACTTGTTTTTCCTCATCTAAAAGCAAACCCTTTCATTTGATATCCATATTACTTCTTAACTTTGAAAGGATACATCGTGAGGAAACCTGCATGCCTAAGAGAATCTAGCAAGTTTTTAAAAGAAATGTGAACTCCGCCAACCCGCACTTGGCCAGCGTGGTGGACTATGGCCTGTTCCCCTCGTACTGAAGAGAGGCCCGTGTCCAGCAGTGGGACGTTAAAAAGGGCTGAATACAATTATGAAGGCGAATAAAAAACATAGTCCGCCATCTTTGAGGGCCCGCCATATTGGATTTAGAATGACATCACTTAGCTATGGTTAGTTAAATATAGCATAGCAGTGTCATACAAACCAAACGTGTGTGCCAAAATTCAGCCCAATCGGACACTGAAAAGTGGAATTTGCAATATTTGATTACAGACATCGGGACAGGTGGAATTAAATAATAGTTTGTAAAAAAGAGAAGTGATAGACAAACGGACAACGTAATTATACTATGCGGGTCCTATTTTATCCCTTTTCAGATAGAAAATTCTAAAAAAGCAACCATTCAGATCACAGGCAGGCTAGTTTGGGTATATTATATATCTATTACATATAATAAAATTCTAGTTCAGTCGAATCTGTTCATTAAATATATTTTTGGAAAATCTTATTGAAATAGTCATTATTATTAATTCAGATGCCGAATCTATAGTTTTTAGAATTTTTGTGTCTGTCTGTCTGGGAGTGCATCACGAGAAAACCACTAGACAGATTTTGAGGAAATTTGGCATGCTGATAGCTGGTTATCCGAGTTAACATATAGGATACTTTTTACTGCATGAAAATATCACATCTCTGAGAAATCTGTACTAAGCGTTAATACGTAACTAGGGACGAACCCGAGCGGAGCGTGGGTGAGTAGCTAGTGTTATAATAATATCTTTATTATGCAATGGACAATGGATGTAATTATTTGATAAAGGCCTAGTTGTGCTGTTTGCAAGTAGTTCTATAGGGAATATGTATCTATCAAATAATTTATAATCACGTTTGAGTTTAAGAATATTTTAAATGCTTAGAACCTGAACGTTAAATAGAAAGTCGTATGGAAGTGTTATTTCTGACCTCATAACTGTACATATAATAATTATTATTCCCGTATAATGAGGCACGTTTAATTGCTTTAATATTTATAGATATTGAGTTTTCTAGGGCTGGAGATCATGTTTTCTCGTTTTCACCCAGCATCCGCTCTAACTTGGCATGGTCGATCTCGCCCCTCATTTAGTTTTACTTATTCTTAAGAAAAGAAAAGCTTGCGCGCCTATGATAGTATAATGTGTCTAAAGTAGACATTATTTATGAAAAAGAATCATTGTGAGTATGTCAGTCACAATCTGAATTATCTTCAAAACTGCAATGTAGTATTTTGTAACAAATTTTAAATGAACACGGACTAACGCATTACTTTTAAAAATCTTATTTTATTTTTTAATTAATTAGAGGACACGTTTAGCTCAGTTTGTTATGACCCTACTTGCTGTGCCAGCGGTCGCGTCTTCTAGTCCCGCTGGGTGCATTCATATGTGCGATGAGCACGAATGTGTGTACTCCAAATACGGGTGTTTATATTTATAATATGTGTGTATTTAAAGTTATATATGTGTAGTGTATCAACTATCTGGTATCCATAACACAAGCTTTAGAACAAAGCTTATCATGGAACCAGATGGTGCTGTGTGTTAATGTCCCAAAATATTCATTTTAATTTGGGGGGTTAATATTAAAGCTAGATTATAAAAGTTTGGTGGGTTTTAGTATGGAATGTATGGAGTGTTATCACAGTCTTATTCACATTTAATATAAGTATAACAAAAATCCCTAACTTTCTAAAATCTCATATTGACCTTCACGGTAGTCCAGCGCACACTTGACTATTTTTTTTATGAGGTAATTAAAATTGATTTCTTAGATAACATCAACCATAATCTGATCAGAAAACAGAAAAGTGTAAGTACCTCGAAATTAAACAAATTGACCAGTAGGTATTGAAATAATAAAAATATTTTTATAGTAATCTCTGTAGT